ATCTATTAAATGCCAGGTCCTGGGAAGTCAGCATCTTTTTCTTTCAAGGATCTTATGGCTAGAGGAGTCTCTCACACTCTGGCTACTTTTTTGTCTGAAAAACAGATATTGTTCAACTAGTTGAAGCTCTCTGTTCCTGATGCATTGATGACACACTGACACATTAGATGTTCAATGTCTCCTTTTCAGAGATTCCCAGGCATGCTTTCTCCAGTGGCCATCTGTGTTTTGGGCTAGTTCATTGTTGTTTTACCCTTAGTCTATCAACAGCATCTTGTCATTCCACCATTCTGTGACTCTGGAGGGACTGTCAGTTTTAGTACAGTGCCTCCATACTCCCAGGAGGATCACATTGTCAAGCAGGGTCAGCAAGATTTGATTAGTGAGTCCAGAAATGTGAAGATGTGGATATAGGGCTGCCAGCAACCTTGTTTCCCAAGAGGAGACAGACTGTGTAAGGATAAATCTCATCTAGAGGGAGTCAGAAGGAAGGAAGAAGAGAGACAGAGCCTTGGCCACATCATATAAGCCTTTAGCTCTAGCAATGTCCAAAGTTGGAGTCAATAAATTCTCTCATTACCCTAAACTATACAATTTTAGCCCTTTTATCCAGGCTTCAAATCTGATAAACTATTGGTTAATAGGCAAGCCAGTTAACTTAAAGACAGCTAGGAAGCAATCTGATTCAGAATTTTTCTAGATTGTTATGATTTTCCTATTCTTTTCCAAGTTGCCTTTCCTACACTTAGACACATAACTGACAGCAGTTTTTGTGACTCACTTTCCAAAACATTTAACCTAGTTTTTATAGGAACAAAACTTTCTTTTTGTATTCATAGTCCATCAGTTTTTGTGCTATTTAATTAAATTTCATAGTTATAACATGTATACTTAGAATAAGTAACTTTGATACAAACAAACTCAACTGACTCTTGGTAAGCCTCAAGAGTCACTCAACAAGTGAAATCAGCAGTGTCCAGCTGGCCACCAGCATCTGGAAGGCTAAGGCCTTGACTCTTCCCTTCTCTCTTACAACTGTGAGTCCTGATTAAGACTTGTTTTTCTTTGGTGAAGATTCTTCCTGGGAGATATCATTGCTGGCCACAAATATTGCGTAGGCCCCAACATTGTTTGGCCAATGGGCTCTTCTACTTTCTGCAGTGACTATTTCAAACATCTTCCACTTCACTCATCCCTCCAAACTTTCTATCTTTCCCTTTCTGTCTCAGCACATGAGCTTGGCTTTTATTTCACAGAGGGAACAGAAACCATCAAACTTCAATTTCTAAACACAGTAAGTTACCTAGGACTGCCCCTGTCATTTCTTCCTGCTTCATGGAGAAGCCGCCCCTAGTCCTATTTCACATGTTTAGGATCCCAGCCCAAGGACCTTATGCCAGCAGTGGTTCCCACTCTTTTCAGTTCTTCATCCACTCCCTATGAGTCCTTCTCCCTGCTGTCAAATACACTCAACTTGTTACAATGTGCAGTGGATCTGTCTGTCTGGCCACCCAGCTTCCATTCCCCCTTCTGGGGAAAACATCTTGTGTGTGGTCCTTCTGGGCTGTGGGTGCTCCTAGAGAGATTCATTTGGCCAGGTATTCCTCTCGCCCTCCAAGGACAGAGGGCTCATGGTTGTAGCTCAGCCAAGTGAGCTCTTGCTCCCCTGGGACTTTGAAACTTTGCCTGAGAGGCATACAAAGGACAAAGAACTAGAATCCTTTCCGCGGTGGTGACAGGGTGAGACTGTGGAGTGGCTTCTGCTGTTGAGCAGCTGCTGTCTCAAGGAAACTGGCTCCTGTCTGAAAGGACTGAGGCAAACTCTCCAGTATTAGCTTCTATTCTGAGCTCCCTGCTGTCTTCCAACACATTCCCTTTTTGCTTAACTTACCCAGAGTTGTTTTCTGTTGCTTGAAATCAAGAAATACTATTACATGATGCAGCTTATTGAAAAACAAAACCAAAACAAAACATCTCTCTCTCTCTTGACTCCACGTCCATTTCCAAGTGACACCTTTCTTTCTTCTCCCCTTTATGGCTATGCTTAAAAGAGTTGTCTGTACCTGTGCTGTCCGTGGTTCTCTCCTCTGACTCATCCTTGCATCTACTCCAGTGGCTTCTGCTCCTATCACCTCACTGAAGCTGTTTGCTTTAAGTGGCCTGGATCACAGCAGTGTCTTAGTTTCCCTCTTTCTTGTCTGGCTGCTCTTTCTCAGTCCTTTGCCACTTGTTTACTCATAGTGCGGTACTAGAACCTTGTCTTCAATCTCCCTGAAAACCTTATCCACTCCTGTGACTTCAGGGACCTCTGTGCCTGTGATGCCCAGACCTCCTAGGAAACTCCAGTTCTGTATGTTCAACTTGCGTGTCCAGCTGGTGTGTCTTCCACCCCACTGCTCGCATACTGAACTCCTGAGCACACTGTATTTGCTCCTCTTTTGTCAGGGTTCCACGTCTCAGGAAATGGCACTTGGCCAGAGTGTCCTCTCTCTACCAAAGCAACCAACAAAACGAGCTCCCACACCATACAGTCCTGGCTTATATCCCCAGATCCTGACTTAGGAGGAGTCTGATAAATTTCTGATCAAATGACATAGCGGCAAGAATACTCCTGCAGAACACTTCCATAAACCTCACCTTTAGCACAGCCCTGTGAGGCAAGTATAATTATTGCCACTGCAGACGAGGAAGCCAACACCCAGAGGTATGGACAGTATTGACTTGGTGTGGGACTGAAGGGCAATTGAATGGACATGGGGGGGGCATTGGGATTGCAGTTTATGTCTGGCTCCCTATTCTGGGCTCTCCCTGAGTGGCCAGGGGGAACTTTCTTGACAAATGGAAGGAGAGGACTAATTGGACAAGAGGCTAAGGCCAGAGTGATGCTTAGAGACCCTGGGGGCAGGTCCAGCCAGGTTGCATCTGCAGGTATCTAGTGTGGTAGACATTTGTTGACACCCCAAGCAGGCCTCCTTGAAACACTTGAGGTAGGGGGCTCGGAGGGTTCTCAGATGCTCAGGGAGCTGGAAGTCCCAGGTTTCAGTCTCGGATCTGACACCAACTCTATGTAATCCCATGTAGCGCCTTCCTTCTTGGTGCTAAGTTGACTTCTCTAGAAAGAGACTATGAGTAAGACTTCTGAGATGTGAAAGGACAGGTCCTAATCCTGGGCAACAATGAGTGGTGGCCTTAGCAAACAAATTCCACATTTCCTCCCTTTGGCCAGGATCCCCCTGCCAGGCTGTGTGGTGGGAGGCCAGGGCCTGAAGCCTCTGCTTGGACACCTCTGCTGGCTTCCAGTGCTCAGTTCCCCAGGGCAGCCTATCTGCCAGGCTCTGCAATTGTGCCCTAAGACCCCACTGGAAAGGGTCTTCCTGAGAAGAATCCCAACCACTTCACCAGTGACTCAGTATCCAACTTGAGGTGGTAACTGACCAGGGTGGGGAGGAGTAGAGAAGGTAGGACCAAGGCTTCCAGGCCTTAAGAAGTAGGATTTCAGGCTAGGGGGAGTAGGCTGCAGTGTCTGTGGTTAAAGGCCAGGCAGGGAAGCACAAGGGCATGACCCACAGGGCCAAATGCTGTGCCAGATATAGTACCATCTGTTGTGTTCTTGGGCCCATGTGACAAACTGATGAGGGACAGTTTGGAGCTACAGACAGGAGCACTAAGGCTGGGAGGGGCTGCACATGCAGAGAACACACCAAGGTATGGGGTGGCTGGGTACTGGGTCAAAGCTCCACCTGCGGCATCATAACCCCCCTACGCCTTATAACCCCCCCTACCCCTGCCCTGGGGCTATGTGCCAGGCTAGCAGGGCTAATGGGACTGAGTGGTACAGGCTTCTGCCCAGGCTTTCCACTTTCTGCCTTGCTTGCAGGGCTGTGGGACTTTCTGTAGACCCCCTCCTGGTGCTCCAGTGGCAGTACAGGGCCTGGAGAGGCCAAAGTTGAGGCTGGGGCATGATGTCTTCCTAGACTAGAGGAGGTGTGGAGATGGCCACTGGACCAGAGAGGTGCAGACTCTTCAGCAAACAGCTGCACAAGCAAATCAGGGTTCCCTGGAGCTGGGATCAACGGAGGAGGGCCAGCATTGGGACCCAAATCTCAGAGACTGAGGCCCAGAGATAGGACAAGCTCCTCTTACCACTCATCCCTGGGGGTGGGTGGTAGGAACCCCTTGAGGGTGGAAGGGGTCAGGGGCAAGCTCTGGCCTGTGGTCATCTGTTGAGTCTGTGTGCCCAGAGCCTGGCCAGTGACTGTTGGAGATTGGAGGATGTTAAGGGAAATGAACACTCAGGACCCCAGCTCAGTAGGGTGTGCCCAGGCATTCCCAGGGCCTGGACTGGCTCCAGACATTTGTGGGGCAGGTGGGGAGGAAGCAGGGCATTTGGTGGATGCAGGGACAGCGGGAAGGGGTGCAGGTTCTGGGTGGGGACGCTCAGCTCACCCCTGTACGGTCATTGTGCAAGCCTGCTGTTGGGGTCCATGGGGCTGACTGGAGATTGAGTGCCCAGAATTGGTTTGGGGGGCAAAGGTGAGATCGAGATGTGGGCCAGGAAAGGGGTGGGAGCATACGGGCCTTAGTGGTGGGGCTGGGAATACAACTCTGGGGACAGAGTCAATGAGGTTGGGGTCTTGGAGGCTGGGCAGAGGCCTCAGCATACAAGGCTGGGAGCTTGGGTGGGGGTGGGGGGGCCGGAGGCGGAGCTCAAAGGACCAGGGTCGGTCTGGGAATCTGGAAGGATCCGATGGTGGGGTCCAGGTCTTGGAGAATGGGGGTCCGTAGGAGAGGGGCTAGAAGGATGCAGCTCGGTATCCCAGAGGGCGGGTCCTAGAGCTTAAGGGTATAGAGGGCAGGGTCGGAAGCTGGAGACTAGTGAAGGGCGGAGCCAGGGTGACGGAAGGAAACACTGCCTTCGCAGGACACGTGGAGGGGCGGGAGGCAAGGGGTCACTGGCCAAGCAGGCAGAAGGTGAGGCGCAGGGTTTGAGGGCGGGGCAATGAAGAAGTGGACTTGGAGCGGAGTCGGGGGCGGGTTGTACGTAGACGCCTGCGGAGGAGCGAGGGGCGGGCCCAGGTGAGCGGGGGCACCGCCCCCTGCGCCCCTCCTCTGCGCAGAAACCCCTCCCAGTCGTTCTCCCGCAGTACCTCAGTGGCTCCTCCGAAGGCTGGAGGAACCGGGACTGGCGGAGTGTGTAGCCCAAGTCGGGTTCGGCTCCATCTTGGGCCGCTAAGCTGGGCACCTGTGGCGGCCGCAGGAGAAACGCTTCCGCCTGCCTGCACTGCTCCGGGCGGGCGAGAGGGTGAGAGAACGGCTCGGAGCATGTCCGAGGGTGGGTCGGGGGGAACGGATGGCTTGGGTGGTGTCTTCCATTCGTGCGCCCCAGAACCCACTCCTCGCCTTTCCCTGCGCCCAGATCCTCCGCATTCTGGCCCCTGCCCGGAACTCAGCGCCCCCTATGGCCGTATTCGTCCTTCCATCTCTGCTCTCATTGCCTATCCCGTCTCCTCACCTGTTTACTCGGCCCATCCTCCCATTTACTCTGCCCTGAGACCCCGTCTCCTGCTTCCACCTCTGCTCCAGTTGCTTCTTCCCGCTCCCATTCCTTCTTCCCGCTCCACGTTACGCTCCGTTCACTGCCACCCCACCCCCGCCCCAAACCTCTCTTCCCTCTTGTTCCTACTGCTCTCCTCCCCTGCTTCCTTGCCCCACAGTTCCGTCTTCCCTCAGTTACTGGTTTTGACTACTGGTAAGGTCTTTAGCCTTGTTTTGGGGAACGTGTTGAGGACCTTCTTCCTGAGTCCGGATGGGCTTTCGGGCCTGAGGAGCAGAGAAGGGAGCCCTGCCCTGAGGCGGGGGGTGTGCTGTGGTGTGGTGTGGTGTGGTGTGGTCCGCTCAGGCCTGGGCGATTGGTGTGCAGAATGCAGCTGTGTAGGCAGTGTTTCCTGCAGGCTGGAACAACAGAAGGGCCTGTGCGTCCACCGCTGGTGTGACTATGGATGGGGCATGAGCCCATGGCGGTGTATGGGTGCCAGTGAGCTTGAAGGTAGGGGCACAGCAGCCACCTGGGCTGCTTCTGGTTTGGGGCAGCTGTGCCATGAGGGCTTACCTTCACCTAAGGTGTCTCCTGGGAAATATGGGCAAATCCTCCTCAGTGGAGGAAGCTCTGGGGCTTCTCTCTGGTTAGCAGAGCTGGGTTCTTGGGGCCACTAACCCAGGGTTACCCTAGAACCCTTTCCTGGCACAACTTTGTTCCTGGACATCTTGTTCTTAAAGGCCCCTCTCTGTGATGGGCAAGTTTTGTCCCCTCCAAACACTCCCTGTCTGGAGTGTTCCGTGCTGTGTTGCCCAACTTGGCCCTGAGTCTTCCTGTCAGGCCATTTCCTGCTGGGTTGAATCAGACCACCTGCTGAAGGTTGCCACACCCCCACTCTGCAATGAGGGATTTGTGAGCTGTGTTAACTGGTGCCTGGTGGCTAACGTCCATATTTTAGAATTGGACAGTTTTCTCTCCTGGCCACATGGGTTTGCCTTTCCTGTTTTGGTCTTGCTGGAAGCAGAAGTCACCACTCCCCTTAGGAGAGGAGGAGTAGGGCTCGAAATGGGCCTGCCTTGATTATTCCCCTTGGCAGACACCCAAAGGCCTGTGTCCCTGTACTGGGACGGCATAGCAAGAGGTAGAATCTTAGACCAAGTGACCTAGCAGTCTCTTTGGTTGGGTCAGTCTGGAAATTTCTGCAGAGCTGGGAACTTTTACTCAAAATGACATTGCTTGATGGCCGCATTCGAGCCTGGTTGCTCCTCCATGCACTGCTAAGCAGAACAGTGGCAACAGGACAGTCCTGTATTGGCTACAGGTGCTGGCCACTTCACAACTTTGATTGGCATCAACTGGGACAGGAGAGAGAACATTAAAGTGTCACCCAAAGAACACCAGGGGTCTTGGATACTTATATGTTCCTGTCTTTTATCCCGTGCTAAAACATCTTTCCAGAGCCTCTTTAGCATGAAACCAGAGCCCTTTCCATGGTTTTTAAGGCAGATGGGCATTTAGAATGCAGACTCCAAACTTGTGTGCATGTCTCTACATGTGTGTCCATGTATGTGTGCATGTCCTCCCCAATTAAGGTTTGAAATAGACTGGGAAATTTAGTGTGGTGATGAAGACACTAGGAACACTGGTGGTGGCTAGGTCTTAGGATGGCATGAAGATAGAAAGCAATGGGAAGTAAGACTAGGTGAATCTAAGGAGAGTCTCAGTGGCTTCCTAAAAGGGCTTTTTGCTGCCTTCACCCCTACCTCCACCCCTCAGTACAAGTCCCTATGATACCTTGAGCAGAAGTCACTTCTGTTGGAAGGGTAAAGAAAAGACTATTAACAATGATCTTTCGAGACAGTCCCTATGCCATCACATTTAGTCTTCACAAAACCCCTGCAAAGTGGGGATTTACTTTTGTTTTGCAGGTTGAGGAAACTGAAGCTGAAAGAGGTTAAGTATCCACTTGAGGATCCACTTGAAGGCATGTACACAAGAAGGGGAAGAGCCAGGGTTGGAAGCAGATTTCTTGGCCCACCTGCTCAGCCACGGCTCCAGTGCATATGTGGTCAGCTGTCATCCTCCCTGCAAGGCTCCTTTCCTTTGAGATAGGGGGTATGGGAAACCTCTTTCCCCGCCCCGAGGTAACTTGCATTACTTCCCGCAGAGCCTGGCTTGCTGTTAGGGGTGGGAAGACCAGGTTGTAGGAGGAATGATACCCTGTTGGGGTTCAGCTGTAGGTTCTCAAACATTTCTGAACTGCTCCAGGTCTTAGTTTTGTCATGTGACACTTGTGGAAGTGGGGTGAGGAAAGGAATGAACAAATACAGAACACTTCCCTCCCCATGGGGTCTTTGTTGTCACTGCTCTCTCTGAGTCACAGCTAGCCCTGGGCACTGGGTAGCCACCTAGTGAGACAGGCACGGGGGACCCTTGTCACTGATGGCTTCTTATTTGCTCCTGTTGGGGTCTGATGGCACCCCAGCCACACTCCACCTGGTTCCTCAGGGGGGCCAGGGGTTGGCTTGGTTCACTATGACCTTGTTGCCTAGGAGGGTCCAGGGTAGGTGGAGCTCAGTCAGAGGCTGTATAGGCTGTCCAGATGGGGCCTCCTTGGTGTTCTTAGACATGCAGCTGGGTGGCTGTCTGCTTGCCAGGGGCTGTCAGTGTCCATGGCATTCCTGGCTATCTGGCATACTTCCTATCCTCCTTGCTTTTGGGCAAGTCATTAAACCTCTGAGCTTTGACTTTCTCATCTATAGAATATGAATGATGACGTATCTTAGGAAGTTGCTCTGACAATTCTACAAGAGACAGTGCTAGAAAAAATATGGCACATCTGGCACAAGGTGGGCGATTTGGTACTGGGAGCTGATATCATCATCATCATTATCATCATCATCATCACCACCACCACCACCACCAGGATTGTTATTGGCCTTGTTGGCCTTCTCTGTTTATGTGTCTATCATTCACATCCTTGAAGGCAGGGCCTGGGTCATGGTCTCTCTCGGCTACCTGTCATTTTCGTGATCCTTCCAGGAACCAGTCTGGTGTTGGCCCCAAGGAGCAGCTAGGAGGGAACACTCTTGCCCAGCCTAGGGCTGGGTCTGGAACTGCTCAGTCTAGTATGGTAGTCATTAAATCACATGTGGCCAGTGCCCACTGTATTGGATAGTGCAGAAGAGAACCTTTTATTGTTGCAGGCAGTTGTGCTGAACTGGGATCCATAGCAAGCCTTGAGCTCTCAGGGCACCACAGCTTCAGAAATATCCTCACTGTTTGCTTGAACAGCCCCTGGCCATCTGCTGAGTGCTGACAGCAAGAAGTTTGTAATTATACAGAAACTGAGTTCCTGAGGGCCCTTCCCACATTCCCTTTCAGGTGGCCTTGCTCACCTGGCCAGGGTGGTTAGTTTTATGGCAGTTCTTATCAGCCCAGGGGTGGGAAGGCAGGACTGGGGTTGCCTAAACTGTCTTTGTTGCTTGCTGTCCTCGCCCTGTTTCTCCAGCCCATCCTGCCTGGCAGGGAGTCCCAGAGTGATGTTCCTAACTCACAGCTTTGGCAAGGGCCAGGTTGGCCCAGATGCCCTGACCCCACTTCTTCTGCGGCCCTGCCCAGCCCTAGCCCCAGCCCGCTGCTATTCCTCTTGGGTGCTCTGAACACATGCCTCTTGCCTTCTGCTCACCCTATTCCTTCTCCCTGGGCTCCCTTTCCCTCCTCTTTCTCCAGGCCCAACTTACATGGCCAGGAGCTTTCCTACCCCAGGAAGCCTTTTCTGATCCATCACACAAAGTGAGTGCTCTTGCCTTAGAAATGCCATCCCTCAGTCTCATTTTTGGTGCTCAAGCCTGTTCCTTTTTGGCTGACTCTTGTATTCACTCCTTCTTTCCACCAGGCATACAGCAGACATTCTCTGAGTATCAACTGTATGTCAGGTTAGGACGGGGTACTGGACAGACAGGGGAACAGGCTTTAGGCCTGCTTTAGAACAGCTTCAGGCTGGTGAAAGGTCCACGGTTGGCCAGACTCTTCCATCCAGGCCAGATAGTGCTCAGCCAGATATGGTGCCAGATCAGCTCAGGAAACCTTCCCCAAGAGGCGATGCTGAGGTTGAAGGGGCCAGTGCTGACATGAGGCTACAGATGGGTCAGTGGGCAAGTCCAGAGGGGTCTGTATAGCTGAAGGAAGAGACAGAAATGGCAGGGAAGGAGGGAGGCAAAGAGGGTGCAGGCACACTTGGCAAGAGGGGGTTTAAACTTTATGGAGGATATGTCTGATTGGTGGTTTGGGACCCATTGCCAGGGCAGAGCTGGATTTAAATTAGTCAGGGCCCCTCTGGCGTGCAAGTGCTCAGGAAATGGTTGTGGAATGAGCAAATGCTGAATGAGTTCTGCATGGAAAGGGCTGGTGTGGGGGGTTCTCTTCCTCTCCTTGGAGCCAGAGGCAGGAGTTGGGAAACTCCTGCCCTTTCAGACGCCAAGACTGAGTTCTAGGGTCAGAGAGAATGTGGGCAGGCCATGGGAGAACCTGGGCAGGTCTCAGTGTGTCCTATATTCATTGCTTATTTATCCCACAAACCTTCTCTCGACCCCTAGTGTGTACCAAGGAGTCCCCAGTCCAGAGCCAGGTGGATACTGAACAGCCGCGGGAGGAGCCAGGCTAGTATTCGTCAGTCGAGCTTTACTGGTTATGAAAATACAGCAATACTTATGTGCTGATTGACTAAGAGCTATATGAAGTGTCTAGTGTCTTGTCACTGTTTTGCTCAAAGCTCCCACCCATAAGGCCCCTGCACTTGCTCTTTCCCTGACTTCCCCTCCATCCCACAGTCCAGCAGTAGAGAGTCACCAGCCAGCATGGTGAGTGGTCTCCAGGACTCTATTCTTGGGATGGTTCTAGTCACTTGGTACTGGTTATTTGATATTTGTAGTGTCATGCCTGTATATATGTGTAATGACCTTGATTTGAAGTGTCTAGTGTCTTGTCACTGTTTTGCTTATGGCTCTGAGCCATTAGGAGGCTAGGACTGAAGCTCTCCCCACAGTGTGCCTAGCACCTTGTGAGCCCACAGCAGAGTCCAGCAGAAGTGCTGCCACACAACTCAACCCTGTTTCCTTCCTCTCTTTCCTGCAGGCAGTCATGAGCAGCAGCCACCCTGAGCCAGGTGCCCAGGCACCCTTGAGCCCCTGCCCACAGCCCCTGTCTCGGAGTTCTTCCAGCCTGCTGGGTGAAGGCTGGGGACAGAGGCCAAAGCTCCGAAAAAGTGCCAGCAGCACTGTATGGCAGGCCCAGTTGGGTGAGGCCAGCACCAGTCCCCAGGTCCTGGAGGAAGAGGGCCACCACGCTAAGAGCACAGAAGAGACACTGACCTCCAGCCCCAGACCATGGCCTGGTGCTGTGGGCCACTGGCGGAGCAGCACTGTGGGCAATGTATCTACCATGGGTGGTGGTGACCTATATCGCCTACATGCCCCCAGCACCGCAGCTGTACAGAGGAGCCACTCAGACCTGGTCCATAGCACCCAGACGCGGGGCCACAGTGGTGCTCGGAAGGCCAGCCTCAGCTGCTCAGCCCTTGGCAGCTCGCCAGTCCACAGGGCTCAGCTGCAGTCTGGCAGTACTTCTGGCCAGGGAGGGCAGGCCCCTGCCGGCCTGGAAAGAGACCTGGCTGCAGAGGCTGGGACTTCAAACTCAGTCTGGACGCTGGGAGAGAGTCAAGTGTGGGTGTCACCACTAGTCCTGGGAGGCACAACCACCCACAGCAGTAGCCCCAAGGCCAGGCCCAAAGCCACTAGGCAGTCAGCCACCACCTCTTGCCAAGCTCTGCCCCCAGTAGCTCAACTCTGTGGCCTGACGGAGGTGGGGGCCAGTGGCTACTGCCATGCTGTGCCTGCCCCTGGGGTCTTGGCCTTTCCCAAACTAGTAGCATCAGTAAGTGAATCTGGGCTGCAGGCTCAGCATGGGGTGAAGTTCCAGTATAGGTTACCTGGGGGTCTTCCTGGGCATTCCCACTGCTGTGCCCATCCCTGGGATCCCACTGGGTTAGCTATGGAGCCTGGTGCCAGGACCAAGGATGTGTGGACCATGACCTCAGCCAGTGACTTGGCCCCAGTGTTGATGTCCCCTCTGTCGGCACAGGATGCTGGTGTACAGGTGGCCCCCATGGCAGAGTGCAAGGCTGTGGCTACCAGCCCACCTCTGGAAGCCCCTGTGGCCCTGCACACATTCCCAGAGGTGACTTTGGGGTCCAGCCTGGAGGAGGCATCATCTCCTGTGCAGGATGTGCGATGGGATGCTGAAGGCATGACGTGGGAGGTGTATGGAGCTGCAGTGGACCCTGAGGTGCTTGGTGTGGCCATTCAGAAGCACCTGGAGATGCAGTTTGAGCAGCTGCAGCATGCACCTGCCAGTGAGGACAGCCTGTCTGCTGAGGGCTGGAGGGCGCCACTACGAGCTGTCATGCAGTCTTTGAGGCGTCCCAGCTGCTGTGGCTGCTCCAGCGCACCCCCTGAGTGAGGAATTGTGGCCCTAAAAGCTGTCTTGGGCCCATGGACTCAGCCCCCAATAAGAGACAGTGGAGACCATGTGCTCTTTGGACCCACTGGCAGCTGTGGACACATCTCTGCTGTAGGCTGCTAGCAGACCACAGGACTTTAGCCTGGGGACTTCTTGCTATTTGCAACTGTGCTGGGTTTTAAGGGCTTGATTCCTGAGAGCCACATTTCTGCACATCTGCGCTCTAAACTTAGGGACAGAGTTTTAGCACTGTGCATCAGGGAGATTCTGATTTTTCTGTAAAAATAATTGCCTTTTGTTCAGTCTCTTCAGATCTCTGCCATGATTTCCCTCAGGACTCTCAGCGGCTTAATTTTAGAGCAGGGCTGAGACATAATGAATCCTTGGCATGAAATGTGGGGCCCCAAATGACAGAGATTGGCCGGGTCTTTAGGGAAGTGAAATGACACTGTCAAAGGCCTCCTGGGTGCCACGTACCATTTGTCACTTGTTGAGTCTTCAGCTCTTCACCCTGTGTTACAGACAAAACCACAGACATTTGGCAGGGTTCTGGCTGACATACTTTAGCTAGACAGCTTGAAGTGGAGGGCTAGGATTCAAAGCAGGGCTGGTGGAAACCTGGGTTGTTTACCTGCAGCATGCCTGGTCAGTCAGGGAAGGGCAGCCATGAACAAGAATTTACTGAGGCCACATTCTGTGCCAGCTTCTATGGATTCCTTGGGAAATGTGACAGGCTGTGTGTGCCCTTACTGTGCTCACATTACGGAAGAGAGGTACACCTCAGTATGAGGGTGCTGAGCTTTACAGAAAGTCCACAGGGTGCTTGTAAGAGCCACCTGCCTTTTAGGTCATTGTGCCACAGGAACAGGAGGACAGGTGGCCAACTGTCCCCAAATATGTCACACCTTCTGAAATTGCACCATTATCACCTCATTCCTTAATTTAGGGCTTTATTTTCAGTGGGTACAATTCTTCAAAGAAGAGAGGGCAGGAATCAATGGGAAAAGAGGATCCTTGAGTGGGGTCTGCCACCTGGTGGGAAATGGCAGGAGCTGTGAGGCTGTGGGGGGCAGGGAGGCCTGTGAGCCAGGGGACTATGGGAGTGGGAAAGCCCAGGACACCAGGGCACAGCCTGACTTTATTGCCCAAGGATCTCTCCAGGACTGTGGAGGATGTGAGTGGGCTTGGGTCCTCATCCTGGGGCTTCAAGTTGAAAATTTCAGCTCCTGAGACAGTCTGGCAGCCCACCCTGTGAGGGAGCCAGAAGGTTAGTGTCCTGCCCAGGGTCATTGGGCACGGGAGGGGTGGAGTCTGAGTTCACAAGCAGCTTTGCCCATGATGTGGCCCTGTTTTGGGCCCCCTTTTGCACCTGGGAACCCAGGACCTGACAGGAGGCTTTTACCCGCCGCCAGGGACCTGGTACCACTGAGGTAGAAATAATTCAGGCAACCCTGGGTTAATTTCACAAGCAAGAGTGACATGCTAAGGGGCCAAAGGAGCAGGTGAGAAAGGCGTGCTTCAGATTGAAAGCCTTCCAAGGCCCCTCAGTGGGCTCTACCCAGAACCATGGCTTTCACAGTTCTAGCTGAGCTTTGTAAAATGCCATACCTGCTTTAAAATAACAGCAAGTCAGAACCACTTTTGCCAGTGGGGTAGGGACAGAAGGTTAGGTGTGAACAGCAGGAAGGGACTTGACCTAGCTTCCCTTTTAAAAATATGACCAGGCTGGTTTTTTGTGTAGTCATGAGGCTCTAGGCACTGTCTAGCTCAGAGCCTGGACCTGTCCTCTTCTGTGTGGTATAGGGTAGGCACATCATGCTCTCGGGAGTGACACATGGGTACTGGGCTGTCTTTATGCCAAGCCCTGAGCAGGCTCCAAGAGCCTCAACTTCATTGGGCCAGACTGGAGAGAGCAAATCGCTGTGGGGACATTAAGGGAAGGGTATGGAACAGGACTGGGGAGGTCATCTTCCCACAGGGCCACAGCTAAGCAGGGTCTTGAGGACACAGTGGGTTTGGACAGGTGGGCAGAGGGTGAGGGGTGTGCCAGGCAGGCAGAGAACAGCCTGGTCAGGGGTTCAGAGGTCCCTGTCCTGCCTGGGCTGTGTTGAGTCACTGTAATACAGGCTATTTGGGGGTGTTGGGCTGGGAGGCTGGCAAAGGAAGTCCCCATTATGAGGATCCTGGAGTGAGGAAAGGGACTTAGGGGAGGTGTGGAAGGGGTGGTAGAGCCAGATTTCATTTAAAAAATAGCCCTTTGGCTGCCATTGGATAGATTAGTGTGGAAGGCAAGGACCCAAGGGAATGGGGGCGTGGGAACCAAGGAGGGACCTGTTAGGGACAAAAACACACACACATGGTGTGGTGGATTCAGGAAGGAGCTCCAGGAGGCTGAGGAGCAAAAGGAGGTGAAGCTACCACCTGTGACAGGTGGGAGGTTCTGGAGGGGAAGGTGAAGGGCCACATGCCATGGGGCTTGGCTGGGACCAGTGAAACCTTTCATGGAGAGACTTTCTCCTGTGTCATATACAGATTCTCATGAGTTCACTCTGGCCAATGTGTGCCAATCTGTGCCACCTCCAGGCAGAGAACCTGGCATGCCAGCATGTCAGGCTGGGCCAGGCCATTAGTGGGAATGGGATAGCTGAAGCTGCCTACCCACTTATATTGACTGAGATAAATTTCAGGGTGGTGCCTGGAGAACACCCTCCTGGTTAAGCTTGCTGTCCTGAGACAACAGGAACTGTGCCCTTGTCCTCACTAGCCATGCTGCATAGCCGCAGCCCACTGTGGATTGACTGTAGGTTAATTTCTGAATTTGTCCTGGAGGCAGAAATTGCCCCTGCCTCCCACCCTTGGTTGCTCCCTGGGCAGTCCTGACTGGCAGTTGTCTAGGGTCTTGGGACATGGCCACCAACCTGGTTTACAGGTCTCTCAGACTCTGGATTTCTGATCAGACTTTCCAGGTCCCCTTTAGGTCCTGCTCTGGGAGGTGGTGGCTTTCATTATTTGTACATTTGCTTTGAACTTAAAGTAGTAGAAGTCAGAGCTTTGCCTGGGAAGGGTTGTTGGTCCTGGCTGGTCTTCTTTTTTTTTTTTTTTTTCTCTTCTTTTTTTTTCTGGTAGATTCTATCCTTTGGAGCAGATTACTAGAGTTCTCTGCCCAGGCAGGAATCCCCCTCCCTTCTATCCCTGTCTCTCCTTCCTGGCCGCCTTCCAAGCCCCCAACAGCTGAACCCTGGCTTTCTGGAGCTTGTCCCCTCTGGGCCTTGCCCGGACACAGGCTGCCATCACCCTTGTAAGGGAGTCACTAGTCACTTGGGGGGAAGCTGTTCCTGCTAGAGTATAAGATGCTGCTGCCCTGAGGACACAGGACTGGGAGGGTGGAAAAGCAGATAATGGTCTGGTCCCACTGACAGCACCTTCCCTGTCAGCTGCATTGAGTCTGTGATTCCTAGAGGTGCTGGATTCTTATTTAATAAGGGACCAACAGACATGCCTTTCCAATGCAGGTCTTGGCACTTAGGACATGAGAGTGGGGCACACTGTAGTTTAGTGGGTGAAACTTGAGTTTGAATCCTGGGTCTCACCTATAGCCATGAGATTTTGGACAAGTTACTAACTTTGCTGATCCTCAGCATCCTCCTCTGTAAAATGGGTATGATAATGGTGCCTCCTTAGGTTTCCTGTGAAGAGTAAATGGAATAACCCCATAAGGCGTCTTGGCACTGAGTTAGCACTCAGCACATGTGCTAGTGGTATTGGAGGCCACTTCTGTAGCCATAGGCAGGGCCTAGCTCTTGCCTACATTCTGTCTTCTTGACCATTCCACATTCACAGCCTCTTCCAGCTCCTTTGTTCCCTGACTTGCACCTTGCCTGGGACATGTGTGCTCTGGCTTTAGCCATCCAAAACTGTAGTTCCCAGAGCCATGTTGAGGACCATCTTATCCCTCATTGCTCACTGGTCTGGGGCTGGGTTCCCTGGAAGCTTGTGCTGGGATGAGGATTCTGAGTTTATTAATGAAGAGGGAGAGGGAGCACAAGGTGGAGAAGGGATAGAGGCCCAGTCAAGAGTGCAATTTCAGGTAGATTCCTGGCTTAGCCCAGGTCCCACAGGGGAACCCCGGGTCCAGGTTCTATTTTGAGGGTAAGGGTCACCAAGGGTGGGGGTGCAGTAAGCTCCAGACACTTCCGGCTCTGGCATGCAGGCTAGAAGCTCCAGGAGCCCAGGGCTGGGCTCTGCACGGGGTTGTAGGGCTTATCCCAATGGAAGGGTGCACAGAAACCATGGGTATCTGAGGGGTCTGGGGGCATACTTGCCAACAATTGCATTCATACTTGAGCAGCCCTTCATACAGTAAACTTTCATGGAGCCCAAAGCCCACAAAATGCCCAAACTCTCTCTGTGAGATACTCTGAAGTAGTTCTGTCTCATTTGTGCTCATGCCAAGGGACCCTGGTTACCAAAATGCAGAACTTTCCTTGTGCTCATGTTAAATCCCTTCTCATTCATCATCTTGGCCTGGCCCAGTTTTTTCATCTGAAGATAGCTCAGACTCTTTATCAGTCTATATCCACTTATTAGGCAGTGCAGAGCCAGACAGAGCCTAGGGCCTGTGGCTAGGTTGCCCTGAGGTCAGCACTGGTCCTCATGTCCCTATGAGACCACACAGTCATCATTGGCAAATTTGTTAAAATTTGTTAAAATTTGTTAAAAATCATGCTTCCTTCCCTTTATGACAGGGTCTGCCTTGCCTTAACCCTCCTTCTCCAGGAGCAGTTCCTCTTCCTGTGGTGTGTGCCATTTCTCCCTGAGCAATTGCTGGCTCTGGCTCTTGGCATTCCTGATTTTCATGAGTCTAGGCCCTTCTGACACACATGTCCTTTCTCTCCTTTGGTGAAAATTAAAATGTTTGAACTTGAGGTAGCTTTTGAGCATCTCACTAGAGAAGGCAGCCTCCTTGGGATACTCTGGGGTGTCCTATCCCCAGAATGTCAGGTTTCTATCACTTTTGCCTCAAAAGAGAAAATAATTGTCAGTGGTCCTGCTGGGTGACTGGAGAGGCTTTGATCAGGCTGGAAGGGGATCCCAGCAGTTCTTAATTTTGGTGACCCTTACTGGGGCTTGAGTGGCTGGGTCACCCAGTGGGCAGGTATATGGGTATTGCCCATCTGCTGGCCTTAGGTGGGCCACCTTCTCTTTCATGCTTTCAGAATTTTCTTTCTTGGCTTGTACTTAGGTTGTGGCATGGCCTGGGAATCAGTTGGGACACACCTTGTTGTCCCATCTCTGTGCTTCTGTCAT